CTTGAATCGGGGAGGCGGAGGTTGCAGTGAGCTGAGATCCTGCCACTGCACTCCAGCCTGGGTAACAAGAGTGAAATTCATTCTCAAAACAAAAACAAAAACCCAGTTTTGAGGGGGGGACTAACAGAGTGACAACTCACTCATTATCCCTAGGACAGCACAGAACCATTCGTGAGAGATCCGCCCCCATGATCCACACTCCTCCCATTGGACCCTACCTCCAATACTGACGCTCAAATTTTAACATGAGGTTAGGAGGGGACAAATATCTACACTATAGCAGTGCCCTTATAAGATGAGACGCCAGAGAGTTTTTCTCTCTCTTTGCCACGTGAGCGCCCAGCAGAAAGGCATCCTTCCGGAAGCCAGGAAGAACACCCTCATCAGAACCTAGCCATACTGGCATCCTCAGACTCCGAGCCTTCAGAATTGTGAAAAAATAAATTTGTTGTTTAAGCCACCCAGTCTGGCATTTTGTGATGGTAGCTCAAGCAGACCAATCCATGTGCTACGGGTAAATTGACACGGGATTTCCAGTCACATTTACATTATTTATAGAGATGAGAATAGTGCAAGAGAAAATGATGTCCCTAAAAGCCAGTAAGAGGAATTCCAACTGTAAACCATAGGATTGGTAATATAAACAAAAGGTAAAAGATACATTGAAGTCATATTCTAGAAAATTAAAGAAATGTTCTTTGGTCCAAAAGATTATTTCAGCCTGGACTTATTCCTTAATCCGTGGAATATGTCTCCAACTACCTACTCAGCATCTCTACTTCCGTGTCCGGAAGCATCTTACATTTAACATACCTATAACCAAATTACTCTTTCTTTCTCTCAAAATCTGTTTTCATCCTTGTCTCCTCCATCTTAGTAAATGGAGCCATTCCTTCACCCATTTGGTAAGTCCAGGACCCTAAGTGTCTCCCTTAATATCTCTGTTTTATTCATTAACATCTTCCATTCCTCCACATCCACAGCTAAGCCACCAGAAAGTCCTAGAAACTCAATCCTGTAAATACAGCGTGAATCGGCCTGTTGTACCATTTCTTCCACCACCAATCTAATTCAAATCACCAACATCATGTATTTGGACTACTGTAATAATTTTCAGCCTCATCTCTGTGCTTTCACTCTGTTTTCGTTTGTTTGCTTATTTCTTTGTTTTGAGACGGAGTCTCGCTCTGTTGCCCAGGCTGGAGTGCAGTGGCACGATCTTGGCTCATTGCAAGCTCAGCCTCCTGGGTCCACGCCATTCTCCTGCCTCAGCCTCCCGAGTAGCTGGGACTACAGGTGCCCGCCACTACGCCCAGCTAATACTTTGTATTTTTAGTAGAGACAGGGTTTCCCCGTGTTAGCCAGGATGGTCTTGATCTCCTGACCTCATGATCCACGCCTCAGCCTCCCAAAGTGCTGGGATTACAGGCATGAGCCACCATGCCCGGACAGTGCTTTCACTCTGTGATCCCCTCCTCCAGCCCAGACCATTGCAATTTTTGGTAATAATTGAACTATTAATACATTTTAAATTATGAAATACAGCATACACAGAGAAATTGCACAAAACACCAGTGTACATTTTAGCAGATTATTATTCAACACCTAAGCTTCATCTAAATAAAGAGAGCATTCTCAGCACCCCAGAATCCCCGCTGTGGCTTCCTTTTCTTCTTCTCCTATGGTAACCACTATCCTGACTTTTATATGATAATTATTTCCTTGTTTTTCTTTATATCTTTGTCACCTGAGTGTACCTGTGTAAGCATTTTAGTTTATTTTGTGTTTCTTGATGAACTTCAAAACCTTATTTTTTAATTGTAATTCGAAAGATAAGCTTAATTTTTAAGTCTTATTTTTTTAGCAGATTATATAAAACAGTGGGTGTTATGGACTGAATGTTTGTCGCTCCTCAAAATTTATATGTGGAAATCCTAAGCCTGCAGGCAGATTGCTTAAGCCCACGAGTTCAAGACCAGCCTAGGCAGCATAGTGAAACCCTAGAAAATTAGCTGGGGCCAGGTACGGTGGCTCACGCCTGTAATCCCAGCACTTTGGGAGCCCAAGACGGGCAAATCACAAGGTGAGGAGATTGAGACTATCCTGGCTAACACGGTGAAACCCCATCTCTACTAAAAATACAAAAAAATTAGCCAGGCGTGGTTGCGGGTACCTGTAGTCCCAGTTACTCAGGAGGCTGAGTCAGGAGAATGGCGTGAACCCAGGAGACGGAGCTTGCAGTGAGCCAAGATCGCGTCACTGCACTCCAGCCTAAGTGACAGAGCCACACTCCATCTCAAAAAAAAAAAAAAAGAAAGAAAGAAAAATTAGCTGGGTGCAGAGGTGCGTGCCTGTGGTCCCAGCTACTCAGGAGGCTGATGTGGGAAGATAGCTTGAACCCAGGAGGCAGGGGTTAGAGTAGGCTAAGATCACACCACTGCACTCCAGCCTGGGTGACAGTGAGACACTCAGAGTGAGACACTATCTAAAAAAAAAAAAAAAATTTCTAATCCCAATGGGATGATTTTTAAAGATGGGGTCGTTGGCAGAGGGTAATTAGGTCAAAAGAATGGAGCCCTGCTGGGGCGATGGCTTACGTCTGTAATCCCAGCACTTTGGGAGGCCAAGACGGGCGGATCACGAAGTCAGGAGACCGAGACCATCCTGGCTAACACAGTGAAACCTCATCTCTACTAAAAATACAAAAAATTAGCCAGGCGTGGTGGTGGGCACCTGTAGTCCCAGCTACTTGGGAGGCTGAGGCAGGAGAATGGCGTGAACCCGGGAGGCAGAGTTTGCAGTGAGCTGAGATCGCACCACTGCACTCCAGCCTGGGAGACAGAGCGAGACTCCATCTCAAAAAAAAAAAAAGAAAAAGAAAAGAAAATACTTACATGTGCACCCAAATTTCGTGAGACCAGCATGGCTCTGTCTTCTGGTATACCAGAACTTATCAGACTGGCCTAAACTACTGCATTATGCAAAATGAGTTATCTCTCCAGTGGCAGAATTTGATCCCTTTCTTCAAAATGTTTTGCCAAAATATATGCTAAGTTAAAGTACATGTGAACACAATTGTAGAGAGTTGCTACAATGGAAATTTTTTCCTCTGGCAAGGGATGCTATCCTTTCAAAAATTCAGAGTTCAATAAGGGACCATAAATAAATATATATATATATATATATATTTTTTTTTTTTGAGATGGAGTCATGCTCTGTTGCCCAGACTGGAGTGCAGTTTCACGATCTCAGCTCACTGCAATCTCTGCCTCCTGGGTTCAAGCAATTCTCCTGCCTCAGACTCCCAAGGATTACAGGCACCTGCCACCACGCCCAGCTAATTTTTGTATTTTTAGTAGAGGCAGAGTTTCCCTATGTTAGCCAGGCTGGTCTCAAACTCCTGACCTCCTGATCTGCCCACCTCAGCCTCCCAAGGTGCTAGGATTACAGGCATGAGCCACTGCACCCGGCCAAAGATAATTTTTTACACTCCTTCCGCCTGTAGGTACTATTCTGTATCTACCTCTGTATGTAAGACCTCAAGATGACTTAGTCTCCTCATTTGGGTGCTGGGGCTTGTAGTCTATGGTAGAGGTCCTATAACACTGAATCCAACACAAGCAGGGCTTGATGTTCAGCCAAAAAGTAGAAGAGGGGCTACATGTCAGTTATTGGTTGACTTCTTGACTGATATGTGGCCAGGTCACACAGGTTATTACATATTTTGAATGTAAGCCCTTGCTATGGGTCCTCACATGTTGAGGTTTGCAAATATACACCAAGTCTACTATGTCGAAGGCTTCATGGAATTACATCTTCAGCAACAGTAGTTCTGTTATTTTGTACAACACCGAAAACATTAGAGACATCTCATAAAAACTAATCAGCCAGTAAGATGCAGTGTATATTCATGAAGTACTGTCATTGATTACCCAGACCTCATTCTAAATGCTGAATGGTATTAATGGCATTGCAAGTACTGGTGGAGTTGCTCTCTGCTTGCCCAAGCCCCTGTGCTACTGGAAGCAGACAGAATGCAGCATAGTTGGTTGCGTTCTGTAAGCAGAGTGCTCAAAATCATACCATAAACTCCCTTGAGAGAGCTCGAAGCCAACCCAAGGGCACTGAAGATGAAGGTCTAATGAATACTCCTGATACGTATCTATACACAGGGCCGTGTCAGTTCCTAACTTGAACTGAATATTTGAACATCAGCTGGCAGCTAGAGCAGTGCCATTTGGATTTGTATCTCAGGTGTACTTAGTTCATGCAGGGATCTGTTCCATTATCACAGAGTGGTATATTGGATTCTCTTTCTCGTTTTCTTTTTTTTTTTTTTTAGAATAAAACAGGGAAAGAAAATGGATAAAAGGTGACTAATGTGGGTAATTATCTTTACAATTCCTGCCAATGCAGTACTCTCAAGTCCTTTTTATCGTCTTTCTTTTGGCCCTCTGAGAAACAAATCTTGGGAAATTTTAACTCATTGAAAATCTATAGACTTCAGCCAACACTTTCTAAAGAGCAAGAGCATCATTACGGCTTTTTTCAAGCACAAAAAGAGGTGCTTAACTTTAATTACACCAAGATTTTATAGATTTGGCTGGCTTAATATTGTAAGCCTTGATTAACATTGGAGAGCTTATAATCATCACTATTCAGACTTCAAGAGTTAGAGGAGACCTGAAGAAAACACCTACCAAGGGGGACCATTATTAGAGGAAGGGGGAGCTCTCGTGTGACAGAGAGACAGATTAAGACAGGAGCTTAGTGGTTCTTGATAGATTTTGAGAACAGTCAGGTGCTTATTGGTCATGTGAATTCAAAGCAAGTATAAATAATCAGAAAGAATTTACTAAAAGAAAACCTTTCAGAGGTACACTGCAATAATATAATAAGAACGATATTATTTGGGTGTGGTGGCTCATACCTGTAATCCCAGCACTTTGGGAGGCCGAGGTGGGCAGATCATGAGGTCAGGAGATGGAGACCATCCTGGTTAACACGGTGAAACCCTGTCTCTACTAAAAATACAAAAAAAAAAAAAAAATTAGCCGGACGTGGTGGCAGGCACCTGTAGTCCCAGCTACTCAGGAGGCTGAGGTGGGAGAATGGTGTGAACCTGGGAGGTACAGCTTGCAGTGAACTAAGATCACATCACTGTACTCCAGCCTGGGTGACAGAGTGAGACACCATCTCAAAAAAAAAAAAAAAAAAAAAGAATGACATTAATAGCATCAATTTATCAAGAACATACTACAATGCTTCTCAAAGTGCCCCACACAAAGATAGCTTATGAGTTCCCCAGAAATCTCCTTTAGATCCCACTGTCTTTAGTTTGTCCAACTTGAAAGTCTGGGTTCTTCCTACTTATTTCCTATTTTACTTTCCTGAAGACACTTGGCTTCTAGGTTGCCAGGGATATTCAGATATTACTGAATCAGTTTCAAAGACTCTTTTCCTACTATGATTATTTATGATTAAGTATCATGGATGATATGGTTTGCTGTGTCCCTACCCAAATCTCACATTGTAATAATTGTAATAATCCCCACATGTCAAGGGTTGGGGCCAGGTGGAGCTAACTGAATCATGGGGGGCTGTTTCCCCCATACTGTTCTCTTGGTAGTGAATAAGTCTCATGAGATCTGATGGTTTTATAAATGAGAATTCCCCTGCGCATGCTGTCTTACCTGCCACCATGTAAGACGTGACTTTGCTCCTCATTTGCCTTCCACCATGATTGTGACACCTCCCCAGCTATGTGGAACTGTCAGTCACTTAAACCCCTTTCCTTGATAAATTAACCAGTCTCAGGTATGTCTTTATTAGCAGCGTGAAAACAGACTAATACAATGGGAAACAGATAAATATGTGTTAGTGCCCTGGGAACACACATCTCACTAAAGCTGAACCTGGAAGGATGCTAATACTGAACTGAAGGTTTAGGAAACTCCTGTTTCCATGTCATCATAGAGCTTCAAAACTCCTGACCTGCAGTAGTCATTTTATACAGGTGACTTTTAGAAAAGAATAATTATCTTAAAGAACACTTGTGCTGGGCGTGGTGGCTCACACCTGTAATCCCAGCACTTTGGGAGGCCGAGGTGGGTGGATCACAAGGTCAGGAGTTTGAGACCAGCCTGACCAATATGGTGAAACCCCGTCTCTACTAAAAACACGAAAATTAGCCAGGTGTGGTGGCATGTGCCTGTAATCCCAGTTACTCAGGAGGCTGAAGCAGGAGAATCACTTGAACCTGGGAGGTGGAGGTTGCAGTGAGCCAAGATCGCACCATTGCACTCCAGCCTGGGTGAAAGAGTGAGACTACGTTTCAAAACAAACAAACAAACAAACAAAAACACAACAACAACAACAATAACAAATGCTTGCTTACTAGGCTGAGTTAGAAGAGTTATTATAGGCCATGTGAATATGTAATTACCATGATTTATTTGTCAAGTACTGAACAGAGGTGAATTTCCTACATTTTTATTGAAATTGAGAAGTTAATTAGTATGACTATTAAACAAAACCCAGAGAGCATTATCTATGAAATATTTCCTTATAATTCTAATTCTGATTTCAAAACCTTTTAGGCTTGAAATTTTATTCAATAGTTCCTAAACATTTTTCCTTTCAGTTAATGGATCTCTGCACTTATCTTTATCACTAAAAATATTCTAGGTATATTTAAAAGGTTTACAAAAGTTCTTGCTGGACATACAAAATTAAGTTCATTTTTGTGAAAATCTGCTGAAATGTCCTTTGAAATTAATTGAAAAGTATAATCTGCCTTATGATTATTACTTAGTCTTTATGTGGTCCTTCATGTTGCCGAAGTACTATATAATCAGTAGCTCCTCTGAGCTACTCTTACATTATTCATTATAATATGCTTTTGATACAATATGTGATTTACTTATGTTACACTTTCAATATGTTTCAGTGGATGAAGGGAATAAGATGGGCCCTTGTAATATTGTTTATTGGAGTCCCCAGTACTACCCCCAGGTTTGATGAATCACTAGTGGGGCTTGCAGGACTCCATACCTAGTCATACAATTGTGATTTATTACAGCAAAGGGATACAAACCAAATCAGCAAAGAGAAAAGACACATGGGATAAAGTCTAGGGGAAACCACGTACAAGCTTTCAAGATTCCAAGATCAGCTGATGATCCAACTAGAACAAAAGACTGAACTTCCCTGAGCAAGAAGGAATTCGGCCAGCAGACAGCCTATGGACTTGAACTGCAGCATTGGCTCTGCCTGGGTCTCCCGCCTGCTGGCCCACCTGTAGGTTTTGGACTTGCCAGCTCTATAATCACATGAGCCAATTCCTTAACACACACACACACACACACACACACACACACACACACACACACCCCTAGTGATTCTGCTTCTCTGGAGGACCCTGAAACATACACCATATTGTTTGTACGAACAGTTTAGACACAGTAAGTCACTCTAACCAGTTAATGGTGGGAATGTAACCACCCAATGGGTTCATTTTGCCCACTGCCCAGATAGAGCTAATTTATCAAGACAGGGGAATTGCAATAAAGAAAGAGTTTAATTCATGCAGAGCCAGCTGAATGAGAGATTGCAGTTTTATTATTACTCAAATCAGCCTCCTGGAAAATTCAGAGGATAGGATTTTTCAAGGATTGTTTGGCAGGCAAGGGGATGGGTGCAGCTGCCTGGTTGGGGATACAATCATAGGGGTGTGGAAAAGGGTCCTTTGCACACTAAGTGTGCTGCTGGACGGGGCCCACAGGACCGGTTGGTGGTCACGGTAGAGTCATCAGTTGTCAGAAATGCACAAATCTGAAAGGCCATCTCAAAAGGCCAATCCAGGTTCTACCATTGTGATATTATCTGCAGGAGTAATTGGGGAAGTTGTAAATCTTGTAGCCCCTGGAATAATGGGTGACCATTGCTGTATGTCTGCACCTTAGCAGAATTCAGGCTTCTCCCATCCTCCTAACCTGGTGGTCTTTCATTAGCTTTACAAAAGTGGTTTCGTTTTGGGGAAGGGCTATAATCATTTGAACAGTAAACTAAATTTCTCCCAAAGTTAGTTTGGTCCAAGCCCAGAAATGACTAAGGGCAGTTTGGAGGTTAAAGGCAAGATAGGGGGTTAGATCGGATCTCTTTCACAGTCATAATTTTCTCACCGTTATAATTTTTCAATGGCGGTTTCAGGAACACTCCTGAAATCTAAATTCTCAGATGCCCGTCAAGGGCCACCCTTGCAAGCAAGTCTTTCCCAGGACAACAGTATAGGCCTGCTGCATTAACTCCTTTCTCTGTATATTCCTATCGATGAAGAGCCAAACTCTGGAAAATATTTTAAGAGATTTGTTCTGAGCCAAATATGAGTGACAATGGCCAGTGACCCAGCCTTCAAGAGGTCCTGAGAACATATGCCCAAGGTGGTCGGGGCACAGCTTGGTTTTATAGATTTGAAAGAGGCATGAGGCATCCATCAAATACATGTAAGAAATACATTGGTTTGTGGTTTGTTCCAGAAAGGCAGGACAACTCAAAGCAGGGATTGGGGGTGGTGGGGCTTTCAGGCTATAGGTGAATTTAAACATTTTCTGGTTAACAATTGGTTGAGTTTATCTAAAGACTTGGGATTGATAGAAAGGGGATGTTCAGCTTAAGATAAAGATTGTGGAGACCAAAGTTCTTCTAAGTCTTATAGTGGCTGCCCTCAGAGACAATACATGACAAATGTTTCCTATTCAGATCTCAGTTATCTCTTTAGGATTGGGAAGATCTGGAAGTAAAAGATCTAGCTAAGTTAATAAATTCTTGGCCGGGTACCATGGCTCATGCCTGTAATCCCAGCACTTTGGGAGGCCAAGGCGGGCAGATCATGAGGTCAGGAGATCGAGCCAACTGACTAACATGGTGAAACCCTGTCTCTATTGAAGATACAAAAAAAACCCCACAAAAAACCAAAAAAAAAAAAAAATAGCTGGGCGTGGTGGCGAGTGCCTGTAGTCCCAGCTACTTGGAAGGCTGAGGCAGGAGAATGGCGTGAACCCGGGAGGTGGAACTTGCAGTAAGCCGAGATGGCACCACTGCACTCCAGCCTGGCAACAGAGCAAGACTCCACCTCAAAATAAAATAAAATAAAAATAAATACATAAATAAATTCTTTACAGATGCAAATTCTGTCCCCCTCCCCCCACCTCCTTGCAAAGAACAGCTTTGCAGGGACATTTCAAAATATGGCAATGAGGCATGTTTTGGGGTAAAATATTTTGATTTTCTTCCTTGTCTCATAACAGAATCAGGTTGGAAAGTAAGTCATGATATACAGGGTTAAAGAAAACCCCATCTGATGAGAATTTATGATTTGTAGGGCGTGACTCCCCAGACCTCTTAGATAGGAATTTGGGCAAGATAAAAAAATCAGAGTATAGTCCTCAATCCCATCTCATATACTTTATATAAACCATAGAAAGAGGGAAAGAAAAGGAAGGAGGAGATTTTCTTATCTCTTTGCTGGATTCTTGGGTATATATGCCTTGTTTATAAACCAGAATGAACTTCTTGTGTCCAGAGGGCTGGAGGAGCATTATTATTATATATAAAACCGTTGCCCATAAACTGAGTTCTGTTCCCACTTTGTATTGGTGACAAAGGAAGAATCTCCTAGCAGAAAAGACAATCAGGTTTTATTCACCGGCCAGGGAACAAAGGAGGGAGGCTCTGGCTCTCAATGTCCCTTTTCGCTGAACTATAGAAGGCCTGGGTTTTTTAAGGACTAAGTGCAGGGTGAGAAAGGAATGTTTGCATGTGCTGGGCAGGACTCCAGACACACAGGCTGGATTCAAACATATGTCTTCATACAACACATATACACAAATGAGTGGAGATTTTCTTTTGGCGGAATAATTTTAGCATTGAAGGCAACTTGGGGCACCTGTTCTGTTGCTCTGGTTTGCAGGGTCTTATCTCCCTCTAGTATCTGATCAGGGGTCAAGAAGTTCTGTGCCATGCC